TTGTCGAGTTCGATTCCATTCAGCTCGATGACACATCAATCGTACTACTTTCCGATTGTAGTCGAGGTTTTCAAGTCAAAAAGAGGACCTGGGTTAGCCGTGCCTTAGTGACAAGAAACCATTTGCAGCATAGCTTAAGTCGAGAAGAGCTATCTGCCAACCAAAGACATGATGAGTTCGATTTCATTCAGCTCGATGGCAGCGATGAACTACTTTCTGGAAAAAATTTCAAGCCAAAATCTTTAAACAAAGAAGAAGACAACGATCCAATTCCAGGAAGACCAATCACATTTGAGAATACCAGACAAAAACTGGTTGTCTTTTTCTTCTTTGCCCTATTCTTGTTAACACAAGAATATGCAAAGAGGGGCAACTGTAGACACCCATTTTTGACCGGGTTTTATATTTTTATTTTTATTGTATTATTTATTTATTTATTTAATTATCATTATTATTATTTCTTTCATTTTTTTTGCAGGGCCTATTTCCAACTACTCAACAACCTCCACTACTCCTACAACATTCATAACCACCCATTATCTCCTCAACTCACATCTGGGAAGGGGGGAAGCCAAAGCAAAGGATGTGCTTATAATGTGATATGTCCATGACAGAAGGGGGAGTTCAAACTGATCATCAACAATAATACTGGGTTCCATTCGAGCTGCATTTTGGTTTCATTGATCTTACGTTGAACTAAACAGCATTTTTCTTCAACCCGATTCTACCACCAATGCTACACGTTTTCCATTTCCAATCAGCGCTTTTTAGAGTCTCAACGTCACCAGTTTCAACAACAAAAACATCAACGGAGAGAAGATTGATAGATGGCTCGACTTTGGGATCCTTGGAACCTGGATTATGTCCATCACTGCTTGCTGAAAAGCAAGGAGCCACCGGTTTGAACCAGCAATCGAATTAGCGGACTGACCAAAGACGTTATCTAAGCCAACGCCACGCATTCCTCATCGTCGCTGCCCTTATTCTGTACTGGATCCTTTTCTCTGTTACTAGCTTTCTTGTTAAAATCGTGCAGTTAAACCAGCAACTCGAGGAGCTTAAGAATCGCTATTGAGATAAGTGATGTGAACTTTAGATCTATTGTATTTGGCCTACTTCTTATTTTATTTTTCAATAATCTTTTGTTTGAATTTCTTCACGGGTTTGTTTGGATGATTTGGAGTGCTTATCTTACAATAAATATGATGTATCATTGCATCTATGTTTATCAATTTCTGATTTGATTAAAAAAGAAAGGTAATGTTCACTTCAAATTACTGCTATTCTCCTATACTGAGAACCACTTATGGAGTTGAGATTTAGGCTTTACTAATTTCCTCCATGGCCCTGCAATATCAATTAGAACAAGTTGATTATCTTCTAGGATTTAACTATGCAAGGCTTGATGATGATCGAATCGACATAATCGAATACTCATCTATAGCTCTCTACATTAGCTGTCCAGAAATTGTTCGATGAAAAGCCTTTGACAGATTTAACGGAGGAAGACGAGGAGATAATTAAATCTGTTGTGGCGGGAACAATTCCTTCGTATTCGTTGGAATCGGAATTAGGTGATTGCAAGAGAGCGGTTGCAATTAGGCGTGAATCGTTACAGAGATTAATGGGCAAGTCATTGTCTGGATTGCCCTTGGAGGGGTTCGATTACAAGTCGATTTTGGGTTTCCATTGTGAGATGCCGATCGAGTACTTGCAGATTTCCGAGGGAATTGATGGGCTGTTGTTGCTTAATGGAGGAGAGTTCTCGGTTCCCATGGCTACCACTGAAGGTTGCTTGGTTGCTAGCACTAACAGGGAAAGTTTGTTTTAAATTAAATTGCAAATGCCTTAGAAAAGGCTCCTGCATGCGTGAGATCAAACAAAAAAATACAATGCTTTTAAACTTTTGGTAAATTCAACCATATGGTCCTTCATCTATGGGTTCCTTTTTTATATTTATTTCATTTAGTTTATTACTTTTTATTTCATTTTTTTCTTTTGATTTATTTAATGTTTTTATTTCCTTATTTTAGTATTATTTTTTTTCTTTTCCTTCTTTTCATTTATTTAATATTTATTTATTATTCTTTATTTAACATTTTTGACTTTTTAGGGATATTTTTAATCAATCAAAGGTAATTAATTTGAATCGAACTTTTTAAATTTAAATTTTTAATTTTTAATTTTCGTAATTAAGACAACCGACAAATTAATTGGTACCGAAAGGGCGGTTCAAGGGTGCTAATCCTTCCTTGACCGTAACCGACTCCCGGGCCCGATACATTTCTGGTAAAACGCAGATCATGTAAGATGGTGTCCGACCTACCTAAATTCGTTTAAAATGGTCGGTGGCGACTCCCTAACCCAATTATTCACGTCGAAACCCAATTCCGGGTCCAACCGAAAAGACGGTTCCGACACTAAACATTTTCGCAGCTACTTTTACACCCAAATTTTGACGTATAAATAGCTGTAGAATTAAGTGCTACTACTGCATGGGTAGTTGGCAGAAGCAAGAAAGTGAAGCTTGAAGCAAATCACAACCATTTTTATTTCTTTTGCTCGTGTTTAGATAATAGAGGAAACTAAGGAAAACAAAAATATATTTCTTTGCAGTTTCAGAGGTTAATCAGCATCACCCATCCCTTATTTTCTACATAGGGGGAGAGCTAAGGCAATTCAGAAAAAGACGGTAAAGATCTGGAATATCAAATTGTGAGTACTTTGAAATTTATTTCATTGGAACTAAAATTTAGTATACTGAACAGAAATCTTCTCCAAGCTGATTTAGGGTAATTTCAATGAATTGTCCGGGTAGGGAAATCGATGACAACAAAACGGTAGATTTAAAAGGCATCTCTTTCTTCTATTTGGAGGCGAGGAACAAGTTCATAGCCACAGATTACGAGTGCAAAGAATTGACTGTATATGTAGATTATGGAGAGTGAAATAAGGAGGGTGATATTTTTTTTGGGGTTATATGAGTGTTGCATTAAAAATTAAAAGGAGAAGTAAGTGGCGGATTTAGAAATTTTTTTCAGAGTGGACAAACATATATTAATAATATAAATTTTTTGATATGAGATCAAAATTTAGGGTGAGCACTACAGAATTTCAGGATGGGCACATATGTATTAATGAAGAAAACTTCAAGTTTTAAAGAAAAAACTCGAATTCTAAAAAATTTCAAGAGGATCACGTATCTACCTATCATTAACGTAGGGCCGCCACTGTGTAAGAGAATAATTGGTCGGGAACAAAGAGTGGTACAAAGGCTGGGATTTATCTATCTCTTAAAATACTAGTGGAGAATCACCAGTAGTATCCAAATTTATCTATCTCATGATGTACAAGTATCCAGCTTCTCGTCACATGGTGTGTCGTCCTCCTACAACCTGACAGTTTCTCCACCAAGCCATCATCGTATCTGCATTTTAAGTATCATATTCATGGGGGTTTTCAAAGGGAAGAAGAGGAGTTGTTGAGTTCTGATTTTGGATTCAATCTCACCACTTCTCTTTAATTTTTTCCTCTTCAATTTTCACCATCTGTACATGTACAGCTCCTAAAGGTAAAAACAAGAAAGCCACGCTCATTTGAGGGCCGACCACTCCATCATCCCAAAACTCTCTCTGAGTATGATTTTTGTTTCTTCTCTCTGAATTGAAATCTAGAAGAAAAAACATTCTGAAAAGGATTTATTAGTTTTCGCATGACTTGTCTTTATTTTAGGTTCAAACTAACATTGTCGAAGTTATCCTACACTACTTATTTTAATTAAAAGAATAGTTTAGAGACTAAAGTAGAGAAAAACATAAATTAAGTACTTATTTCTAGTTTAAGCCTTAATTTAAATTGATAATCGGACTATTTAAAAAAACTAGGTAATTCCATATTTTGGTTTAATTAATTCCAAATGTGTTTATAATTTTTGAGATAAAACTCGACCAGACGCAGATATATTCATAAAAAATCTTAATTTATTCTATAAAACAAAGATCTAATTGAAAAAAAATCAATATAGTAAGTGATATTATTATAATTATCCATAAATATATAAGATATAATTGTAATATTTAGGTCCGATCAAGTTTTTTTTTTTTTTTTGAATCAAAGTGGAAGCGCCTAGATAAGACTAGGTTTTACAATAAGGTGAACCATGAAGGTCTCTAGCAAGAAGATGCTGCAAAGAGATCGGGGGAAGCTTATAGATATTCAGGAAGTGTAGCTGTGAAGCGCAAGTTTGGCGATAGCATCTGCTGATAGGAAGTTTGCTTTACGTGGTGTCGGAGGTATTTTTTTTAACTTAGCTAAAGCCTTATCTACTCAAAATTTTATATTTTAAAAAAAATTGACCTAATAAACTAGATCAAATTAAAATTCGACCTCATCAAGTTCAAATCCGGTACCCATCTCTAAACAATGTCTTTTAAAATTAATTATCTTTCACTTTTCCATGTCATCAAAAAAAACTTGAAAAATCACTTTTTCAAGATAATTCGAAAGTCTCACGAAAACTACTCTTAATCTGGCGTTGGAAACAATCTACTATTCTGTCTCCCTCTTACCCCATTACATATGAAAATAAGGATCAGTTAATTTTTTATTGAAATATTGATATCATATTTTATCTTTACAATTTTTAATATAATTTGATTATGTGGCAGAAAATAACAAAACTGACACCGGCATTTCAGTAAGGACAAAATAGTATTATTGTTTCGTTACATTTGAGTTAATTTGACAAAAACTAAAAGTTTGAGGGCCCAAAAAGATCATAATTAAAAATAAAGAGCTAAAATGATTAAACTGATAAAATAAAAGGGCCAAAAGATAATATTTTACAAAAAAAAAATGCATGGAAGCAAGCAATGAGCATATTGAAATCATTATTAATTTTAAATATAAAGTAAACTTATTTTAACTTTGAGGTCGTGGGATCGAGTCTCATGGAGGATATTTCATAATTTGAATGTCTCCTACGAAAATTACACTCAACCTAATATTAGGACAACCTATTATCTTACTTCCCTTTACCCATTACATATGGGAACAAGGGACAACCATATCCTTCATCCAGCGGATCTGTGCGCATTGACTCAGTCTTTAAACCATCCGAGTAAAGCAAGAATAATTTTAAATATGTTTCCACTGAGTAAGGCTTTGATTTGCTTTTGTTTTTCTGGCGTGTAAGGCGGGTACCTTGTCGGAGATTCCCAGCGAAACTTCTGTACAAAACCGCCTTCTTATGGCTAAAAGCATCAAAAGAGAATTTCCCATGGTATGCGCCCATTCCACTCTCCCCGACTCCTCCGAAAGGCAGACTCGGAACTGTGACCTGCAAATATTGCCATGAACAAGGAATCGGATTTAACTAGTTGATATACATTTCCTGTAACCAACATGTTCATACGTATCTGATGCACTATGATGTCCATTGACATTTGAGTTAATGCAGAAACACGAACATCATGCAGTAATCATCAGGCCACTTTAGCCGACAAAAAACAGATAATCGAATAGTGTTTGCCGTTGGTTTTCCCATTACTTCACTAAGGAAGATCTGATGCGAACGCCAATCATTAAACTTGAGAATGAATTCATCATGGAATCCCTATTTCATGCTTGACAGGATAATAGATGACAATGAGAAGATACACATATGGGTTTTGCATATGAAATTCAAACTCATCGAGAGCGGAAATACTTGTAGAATGGTGTCATTAATAGCCATTCCTCCAGCATACACATTTTGCACAAACTCCCTTTCGATCTGTTCATCATCACTGAAGAGATACGCGGCAAGAGGTTTCGGCTTTCGGTTTATCATGGCAAAGCTATCTTCCAACCTTTCAACCTGTAACAGAAAGGACAAAAGGAAATCGATATTGTCGTGTAATGGCTTCTGAGCATGAATGCAAGAGTTCAAGCCATAACCTAAAAGTTTGTCTCCGTATGATTTTAATGTCGCGTTAACAAAGAAACAGAAACTCACAGTCATTATCGGAAGTAATGGTCCGAATATTTCTTCTTGCATTATCAACGAGTCCTCAGGAACATCCAACAATATTGTTGGAGCTATTTGTCTGCATTATAAAGGCGACTATTACACGGTGATTACGCAGTAGATAGGTAAAGATAATAATGGGGTGGCAATTATCAAACTCACAGTTGGCTCCCATCCCTCTGGCCTCCAAAGACGATTTTGTCAGACACTTTATCCTCATCCAAGAGATTTACTAAACGAGAGAAGTGGAACGAGTTTATAATGCAGGATCGTTCCTTCGACTCCATTGGATCTCTTCCAAATATCTCCTCCACTACACTCACTAGAGCTTCTATCTGTAGATCAAATATCTTTCAAGACCATGACCTTAAAGTGAATTTTACTCCTTCAGCAAAATCTTACCAACTTTGGAGCAAATTCTTTTGTTGTTATGATGTAATCAACACCGATACAAGCTTGTCCATTGTTGCATACCCACTTGCCAGCTACAATCCTCCTCGACGCAACCTTAAAATCGACAAAATCAGACCAGTTCTACAATATGAATATGCGTTATTAACTCGAGGTAAACAAGAGCTACTCTCACTTGTAAATTAACATTGGAATCAACAACAGCTGGGCACTTTCCTCCAAGTTCAAGAGTTACTGGTGTAAGGTTCTTAGCTGCAGCGGCCATCACAATGCGCCCAACTCTTGCTCCACCTGAAATATAAAGGTATCTGTACTTTTAAGATTTTATTGCTACAAATTCGATTAACAATGAAAAATTACAAACTTGCATTCGACAGTAATGCCATACGCTTAAATTGTATATTGCTATTAATTCTACGAATATAAAGGTATCTTTATTTTTAAGATTTTATTGCTACAAATTCTATGTTTAATGCATTTAGAGATATCAAGAAATATGAAGAATATAGGTTAAACCTGTAAAAAAGATCTTATCCCACTTCTGTTCTAGTAATGCCGAGGTCTCAGCAACAGCACCCTCAACAACTATTATAGCAGATTGGTCCATGTATTCCCCTAGTAACCTCGAAAGCAGTGATGATGTGGCTGGAGCAATTTCTGATGGTTTGAGGACCACAGCGTTACCAGCTGCAATAGCTCCAATTATGGGCTCAAGTGACAATGCTGGAATATGAAACAAAACACTTCAGTACGCAGAATATAAGAGATGATGGTAGTGAAACAAAAGAAGCTTAGATGGTAAATACAATAATATTTTATTTCTATAAAAATCTATCAAAACAATGGCTATGTTTTAGAACAATTCCATATGCCAAGGAAATACTTAGTGGCACCTTTAGATTGTAAATTTTCCTAAATAAGGCAGTAAAATCCATCATGAAGGCAAATGATGAACAAGTACAGGGCATATCACATGGCAATATCATTACGGGTATCTATTTAAAATATATACACCAAAAACCCAGATGGCTCAAGCTATGCCTTCTTCCATCGAATTGCAGAATCAGTGAAAAAAGAAAGAGGAAGTTTCTAAAGCAATGGTACAACTTTATAAATAAAAAAAATCAAAAGGGCATACTCCGTATGCTTGCATGCATATATCTACATACAGACATAAACAAATTACATAGAAACATGTTCCTTATTATCTCAGTTCAATAAAATCGATGTGATAAAAGAAGAATGGATAAAGGAAACATTACTGTGATTCAAATTTCAGTGATGTTAACGCACAAAATAAAAATGAAGACATAACAGTTCAAATGTCAAGTGGCAAGCTAGATTTGATGTGACTATATTTTATTTATTTAAACTGAGAGAAAAGGAGTGAGTGTGCAGAAAACATGTAATTTAAAACTAAATTAATGTAAATTACCAAAAAAAAAGAAGAAGAAGAGTGATTAATTAGGGAATATACTAAGAATTAACAAAACTAATAATATATTAAGTTAAAACAGAAAAAAAAACATACAGAAAGGGAAGTTCCAGGTAGATATGACCAAGACAACTCCAAGAGGTTCTGACACAATTTCTGCCGACGATGGATAAGATGCCAATGAAGTTGCAGCCTGAAAAGGTGCTAAAATGTTTAAGCAAAACATGAATAATCACATTGAGTCCTAAGATTTGCAACCGTGACAGTAATTACCGTTTTCGGGATCATCCATTGTTTAAGTTCTTTCAGGGCCAACTTACTTGAGGATTTTACCATCAATATCTGCATAACGCATGATATAAAGTCCATGTGATGTCCAAATCAATTGTTCCAACATAAATGCATGGCATACAATTTTAACATCCTTTAGGTTGATATTCCTGCAAGATCAATCTGTTGTAGTTTCTTCTGTTCTTGCATTAAGGGTTCCTGTTGTTTATAATTGCTTGAGTTGCAACAATTTTTGAACCCAAATTCGATCAGAAAATCTAAGAAAGAAATTAAAAGGAGATTCAATTTCACTGTAGCGCTTATCACTAGATAAACTATCACCCTATGCGCATTTTAGTGGAGATAATCAACTGTGGCTTCCTTAATGCCAAAAACAGTTATGTACTGTACTCCAACAGGTGTAAAATGATTCAATACTTACACATATGTTAGAACCCATCACATGATAATCATTTTTCTCCCTGTATGTAGGGGGGGTTAGCAGATACATGCACAATTTCACTAGAAAGTTGAAAATACACATTAATTTCATGAATTGACAGCTGAAGGCAATACAATAGAAATAAGAGAGTTGAAACTTGAAACTTGAAACTTGTAAGGTAATGTAAAAGGGAAAGGAAAGAGAACAATATACAAAAAGTATTTGATGATGAAATGAAGAATACAGACCTCTGATAGGTACGCTTCAAGTTGAGGTTTCGAGAGGTCCTCATAGAGTGCTTCAATAATTTCCTTCTCCTTTTCATCAACCATCTTTGATATGCTTTCCAATTGTGATATTCTCCATTCATAGCTCTTTGTCTTGCCTGAATTGAAGGTTTTCCTGAGCTTGTTAACCAATACAGCAGCTTCATCTGCGTCAAATGTTGACTTCACTTCCTCCATCGTTGTTGATAGTGTTGCATGGCAACTTTTTGATGCATTAGAAAAACATCCAAGGAAATAATGGGGGTGTGGAGATCAAGATGTGGAAATTAAATTAATAAACACAAACATGAGTACAATGAGAGAGAGAGAATTACTAGTAAGAAGAAGGAATAGAACTGGAGAAGCTGACTCGGTTGATCTTATATGTGTGACAATATGTGAAAGTGCCAAGAAGACCAACACCAGCAATACCGGTAGATTTTAAGCATCTGAATATGAGTGAGAAACAAAGCAAATTATGCAGATGCAAATTGAATATCAGTATTCATGAAGACTAAACAACACAAATTTCACAAATTTCTAATTATTAGATGCTCCATTTCGAGTAATGATGCCAGTTAAATGGCCAAAAGTCATCTTTTACTACTTCATTGAAATTAGGATTTACCTCAAAGGACCAACACAACAATGAGCTAGTCTACAAGCTTGCATTGTTTATGCATTTATGTTAGGTTTGGTACATAAGTAATAACATAAGGAAAAAAGCTTAATTATTACATGAGTTTTAAATAGTTTGTCTAGTATATAGACAAATTAGTGTAACTATAAACTTGAAGTTAGGAAAACTCATGTAAAAACTAATACCTATTCAAAATAAATAATATTTATTCCTTATCTTTGTTCAAATTAAGCCATATGAGTGGCTAAAAATTACCTAGTGAAGGTAGTTTATTGCTATCTCATGTACTAAAACATGAGGAAAGATTAACACTCCAACCAAACGTAGCATAAGTTAATTTCTCCAAGGGATAAACCCAATATCAAATGAAGCCAATCGGCAGCTCTTATTTATATGGAAGAATTTAATGTCACACCGTTGTGGTGGCACCTGGAGGAAAAATGATATCTAAGAAAATCATTGACTACTAATAAACTCTTCTATTCGAAATTTTTTTGACAACATAAACAAATTAAGCATTCAAGGATAACCATTTCTAAAACGAAAAGAGAAGAAAACAACATCATAGACAGTATCAAAGAGAAAGCTATGGAGTTATGAAATTTGGACAACACCACGCACATTTTGCATATAATTGGATTATTGAGCTTATTCTTCTTTTGTAACGAGTGAAGGAATGTAGTCCCTTTTTATCCATAAATAGAGTCTTCTTTTAGCTTATACTTATATGGCATGTCTTTATATACTAGAGAAGTTATTAAGAAGGCAAATCATCCTCTCTAAATATATCTTTCAAAAGGAAAAAAAAATGGAAGGCATGCATGATACCATGTTTTAGTAACACATTTCTTATAACAAAGACTTTCTAGAATACCTTGTCAAGTTTGACCTTATGACTAAATAATTAACAGTCTATGATGCTCACAGATAAATTTTCTATTTCCTGTATCTCACCACCATGGAAGAGTTCAGTTTGTTAATGATAATTTTCTATGTATAGGTCTAAGATCAATAACTTTTATTTTCCAACTATGGGTTAACATTCATTTTGAAGTTCAAAGAAGGTGAACGAATGTTTTCTCCATTAGGTACCTACACAAGCAAATGACATAAATTAGACATAGAAACAAAACAGAAGAAGTTTTCATTCTATGCTTGGGAACCATGAGGGGGGAAAGGGTGACGAAAAGTGGGAGACGGAGATGGTAAGTTATCCTAGTTTTGATGGCACAAATAGAGGAAGGAAGGGAAAGGGGACGAATATGTTACAAAGCTTTTTGTTTAAGGAGTGGGAAAGGAAGGAAATAGGTCTGTTTATACCGTTTTACTAATGTATCCTTTATAAGTGAAAACTATCAAATGTTTAAAACAATATAACAGCCATGTTTCCTTTTATGTGAGAAAGCTGTAGGGATCTAGTAAATTATTGGGATTTCATCAGGGTAAGTGCAATCAGTGTCAAAGCTGGAACGTTCTTACTGTCTTGCTTTGAATAAGGAAGTGGTATTTCCAGAATTTTGACAAACAGTAATGTTTAAAACATATAACAGCCATGTTCCTTTTATGTGAGAAAGCTGTAGGATCTAGTAATTATTGGGATTTCATCAGGGTAAGTGCAATCAGTGTCAAAGCTGGAACGTTCTTACTGTCTTGCTTTGAATAAGGAAGTGGTATTTCCAGAATTTTGACAAACAGTTCCATCTAACTCACAGGTTCAGCTGGTGGTCTAGCATGTCCATGCTTCTTAGACCATTCGATTAAAGCGATTGTTTGTTCTACAAAGTGTCATCAGTTTGCTTTTAGTCCACTATCAAAGAAGAATACTTGAGCTAAAGGCGAGTGCTGCCTTCTCCCCCGGCAAGGATGGTTTCAGTGATTAAGGCATCCAATAGAAAACTGGGTTTGGGGTCTTAATTTCATTGAAACTAATTCTCCACACGATTAAAGGTAGTGGGATATGAGGATGGATGCAGCATTTAGTAGTTTTAACGTGACTATTAAGGAAAATCTTGAAGCCATTCAAAACTGTAAAGGGCTTTCCTACTCAATTTAGTTCACCTGCAACCATACAATTCCAAGCCTACCATACTCAACATATAATTCACTAAGAAGAATGCAAAATATCACCATATATATATATATATAAAGAGAGAGAAATTAGTAGTTAAACTTGCATTGTATTTCATCATCCATGGCATAAACTAAGCAAGCATCAAGAAAGACAAAAGATTATAAAACCCAACGACATACCAGCAAAGCGAGGAGAGGCTTTCAGAGTGAAGTTGTAAAGAAACTCAAAGTTTGGGTATATATATAAGAAGAGAAACCTGGTGGGGTGTTTGAAGAGACCGGCAGAGACGATCGCCATGGCAGCTGGAGAATCTGCAACTTATCGGCTGAAAATTTGGTCACTCAAAGTCTACTGGAAGCAACTAATTGAAGGGATGATGGAATCGAAAGGTTGGTTGGTTTTTTTTTTGGCAAAAGTGAAGATGGAGCCCCGCATGCAGAAACACGTGGCTTTAGGACCACACACTCTCTCTTTGCCCAACTCAAAAAGGGGGGATATTTCAGGGACGTTTCTCCGCCATTAAAATTTGGAGGGAGTGCTGCAGATAACGTTGAAATGACAAACACAAGAAGCACTGTGATGGGAAGGCAACTAAATTCCATATCTTTAGTTACTCAACCTCCATGGATTGGCCCATCTATTACCATTTGAGTGCTAGATGATTATCATATATTTTAAACGCACGCGCTCATATCCATATCATTCCTTTGGAATCATTATGATCTATCTTCTCGTTTGAAAGAAGGGGAAAAAAAACCATTTAACTCCGACTATCAAATCTAGAAGCTTCAATGTCTCAACTCTAAAGTCCTTTCCTTTTTAAAAGTTTTGGTTTAATCTCATTTTACTTTTTTTCCCCAAAAAATTATGGTATTTTTAATTGCCACGTTACTGAGTTTGTGTACGTTTAACTCCTCAAATAGCAACCATTTTATTAACGTTATAGATTATACTATATTATGTCAAACTCATTGTATGGGTAAAATAAAATATATCTCGATAGAATCCATCACATAAGGATTAAATATATCTCTTAAAATTCTAAAAGTTTTAGATATTCATTTATTGTGTTTAAGAGATTAATTAATTGTTTGGACACCATGAAATTGAACACCATATAATCTTAAACCAATAAAACTATCCTATAACTCAACTAATTATTGATTAAAATGTAGGAGTAATACCTTAGTCAAACACGTGGGCTCGAAAATCTTGGAATAAATGAGTTGTGAACAAGACGTTGAGGCCATATTGATAAGCACGCTTGATTAGGAGGACAATATGGAAATTGACATCATTGAGTTAATTATATCTAGGATAGACACGAGTCGGGTTGGATCGAGTTTTCGGTCAATTCGATCTCATTCGATTGAAATAATATATACTATCCATTTGAAATTTGATCCAATCCGAATTTAAGGTAATTTCACCCAATTTGAACTCAACCTGTTTTTTTGAGATGAAAGTCGAAGCCGAAACAACTTAACTTGAAACAAATATATTTATAAAAAAATATTAATTTTATTCTATAAAAATAAAGATTTAATTAAAAAATAATATAAAGAGGGATAATATTACAATTACCCCTAAATATATATTATTTCTTGGGTTGGACCAAATCAAAAATTTGTCACCCTAAATTCGAACTTAATCAACCCGAACCCTAATTCTTTTAAAAACTCGACCTTGTAAAATCCAATCGGAATTCATTAGATATGAGTACCTAATGATATCTACATTGCCAAAGTGGGATATCATCGATTCAATATTCTATTGCGACCAACGTCGCAAGTAGATTGTCTAATCGAACGGGGTTGAGTATTTATCGAGTGAGTCGATCATGTGTTAAAAAATATTTGATTTGTGCTAGCTAAAAATTGTTTGACTTAACTTGTTATTCCTTAAGCTCAATAAAATTTTATTCGGTTTGTGCTCGTTAAAAAGTTTGTTGTTTGACTCAACTTGTTGCTCATTACACGACTTGACTCGTTGCTCGTCAAACTATTAATTAGTAATTTAATATTTTTTATTATCTATTAATAAATTAATAATTATAAATTATATTTTTTAATGGAATAATTTTTAAACTAACTACTAAAAGTTAATAAAAAAATGAAGTGCTCGCAAATTTATCAAATCAAATTGAATTTTATTCGATTCAACTCATTAAATTTTTTAATCGAATTCAAATTCGAGTCAAGTCAACTCAAATTGACCGTTAGTTAAATTTTAATCAAATTAAATTCCAATAACATATAAACTACTCAACTCATTAAGCACTAGTGTTCCCAATGCTCGATCCTTTATATGGAAAACTTGTCATAATTCCATTGCCTCCACTTTCCACTATTTCCTTTAACTTATGGGTGTTGGTTTCTTTACAGATTGGTGGCTTGTGATCTATAACACAACTCCTAAGATTTGGTTCGTTCAAGGCATGGATGAAGCCAAGATAGCAGTTTAAGGAAACAAAATATGATTAATAAATTAAAATTAGAAAGTTTAATTATATATTTGTAAATATAAATTAATAAAATGTTGTGGAAAGCAGAGGCTTGAAGCTGCAGTAATGGCGATAGAGTAACGGCTTTGTTCATCATACAGTAACCTTGGCATTCCCTACAATAGTAAACACTAACTACATGTAGGAGTAAGCAAAATTTGACTCGACTCAGAAAAATTTGAGTCATAGTTTTATAAGTCGAATAATAAAATAGAATTTGAATAATTCAAAAATTTTAATAATTAATTCATCGATTTTTAAGTTTGAATCGAGTTTTTCAATGATATATGTATATCATGAGAAAAAATATAAAGAAATATATATATATATATATTGTCTATGATTGCAGAAAAAAATTATTTGCTTTTATTTTTATTTTTTTAAAGGAAGGAGATCATTTTATTACTTGAAAACAAGATACATTTTTCGGGACCTCATTAAAAAATCTCCACAACCTTAAGTGAAAGAAAAAGAATGCACCCAAATAATCACACGAACAGGAGCTGACTACAACTCACGGGACAATCTAGAATCCACCTAGGTAGAGCCAAAAACAGAAACAAACTAACGATCTAGCAAGAACCAGAATAGATCAGCAACAAAACCAAACCAAAAACCCGATATCAATCCTTAGCCGGAATAAGAACCTGAGGCCAATTTAGCCAGTGGTCTGCCACCGAATTACGACCCCTTGGGATATGTCTCATAATAAAATTTTCTCTAATAGACGGCGCAACAATCTGCCGAAGGACCAACGCCCATTCCTGGGTATTAACTCCGAGTTTCTCAACCAATTCACCTCCGCTTCGCAATCAAATTTTTCGAAACTGTCCTTAAGCTTTTTTCGGGCTATGGCGAGGAGTGATCCAACTTAAATTTGGAAAAGATGGTTTTTTAAATAAATACATAAATAAATAAATTTGGAGTCGTCATCGACCTTTGGGTAAAATAGGTTGAATACCTAAAAATATCTTTTAAAGTAATTTTAAAAGATAAAAAGTGATCTGCGTTTAACCAGAAACTCATTTTTGAAAAGGGTTCGGGAGTCAATTACACGTGTGGAAGGATTAGCAGCCCCACAGCGGCCAAAACTAGTACCTAAGCGATTATACGTCATCTAAATATTGGAATTGGCAAATTTGAATATTCACTTAAATTAAGATCCCTTTTTACATATATAAATTAAAAGGGGTGTTATCTTGTACGAATAATCCTTGAAAATACCTTACTTTTCAGTTAAGGGGCATTTTCATGGATTCTCCATACGAGACATTATTGCCCTAATTTTTAATGAATTACATACATTAAATAAATATATTAAAAAAATTAAAATGTGAAAAATATATGTATTGTTTTGTACAAAAAATTCTTGGAAACGAACACCTTGTTAGTTAAAGTACGCTTTCATAAATTCCCCGTACAACATGTTATCCCAATACAACATGCATTTACAGTAAATAGAAACCAACAAAGACTTAAACAAAATACCATGAATACAGGAAACTTAAATGCAAGTAATATGAAATTAATCGAATATGTGAATGAATACCGGAGTGAAAAGATAGGAACTTTGAGGATTAAATTGCAAAACCAAAAGAAATCATGGCCATAAACAAAAATATCACAAAAACTAGGTACTGGAATCGTAATAAAACCAACATTATCATTAAGGACTAAAATGGAAGTTATTAAAATAAGGTACTCAAATTAAAACAAGAATAAAAATAAAATAGCAAGTAGAAAGGGACTAAAACAGAATAAGGGTAACATAAAATGCTCGAAGTGAAAAGAAGTGCAACTTCATTTAGTGACTAAATCAGAAGGCTACAAATCTAAAAGGACCCGGGAAGAGGTTTGCCCACACGTCCAAAACGCAGAAATCTCCACCCCAAAATGAAGTCGTCTAGGACACGATATATATACCCAACAAACGACCAAAATGGCCAAAACCCCTCATTTGTTTCACTTTCACTCTCTCTCTAAAAGGAGAAAAAATTATCTTCCTTCTCTCTTCCTTTCCTCGTCGGGGGGAAAGCTGAAAGCCTCTGACCTTCGCTCGCAGGAGCACTTCGTCGCTGTCCACGACGGTCGGAGTAAACATAACCTACCCCAAAATAACCCTTAGCCTTCCCTAAACTAAAAAATAAACCCCTTTCGACCTAAAAACACCCCCACCATCCTGGATCTACAAAAAATTGAAGGGGTTACCTTCGAAAAATCGGTGGTGCCTCCTTTCTTCGGTGGTTGGAAGCTCGGCTTCGAGTAAGTATCTCTTTCTTCTCTTTCTCCTTTTGAAAAGTCCCAATTTTTCGTGTTGTTATGTTGTTCGAAAATACCCCCTCTTTTGTTGTTGTCTTGCTATATATCACTAAACAATTGGGGTTTTTCTCTCTCCTACCTTTTTCTTTTCAGTGTTGCATATTTCTGGTAAGGATTTGACCATCTGTCCTTTTTGTTATTTTTGTGCTAGGGATGCTGATCGAGGACGATGGTTCAACGGGGACAACACTCTATCCCGAACGGCGGTGATGCAAGAAAAGGACGGGATAAATGTTTTACCCCAAGGCCTTTTCATCATTCTCTATGGTGACCGACGGATTTCTCAGCAGCAGCTACAGTCCTTGGGAGTCACAAAATCACGGGTGAACACTTTGGTCGGGTGCGTGGTGGCGATCAGCGCGTGGAGGCAGAAGCACATTAAGGTAAAACCCTAGCTTGGGTTATTCTGGGCCGTTGGATTATATCTGATCCAACGGCTGATGTGGCTTGGTGGCATAAAGGGGAAAGGGTAAAACCCTAGTTTTCATTGAGTGTTGAGTGTGGGCTTACCTTGGACCTGCTGATTGGGTTATAATGTTGGGCCTATGATTGGACCCGATTTTGAGCCTATAACCAAAACCTGTAACAATAAATAAATAATAAATAGTAATAGTAATGATAATAATAATAATATATTAAATGATAACCT